TTGCACAGATGGGTACAATTTGATTATGCATCCACATCTCTTCTCATCAGATTACATACAGTTATGCCCAAGAGCTTGCAACCAAATTCATAAGGAAGCCCATCCCTCTGGAAAGGCTTTCACTTTTATTAAAATAACAGGTTGCAGCTAGTTGCAGCTTTGATATTTTAGATCATTTTTTAAAAAATTGTTTAAAAAAAAGTCACTTCCTGGCTCTCTGTCCTCTTATCAAACACCTTTACTGCACTTTTATAAAATGCCTTTTAAAAAAAAAAAAATGATTTATGGATTTTGTTATCTATCCTCTAGTTCAGCATTTCTCAAGCTTTGCAAGTTGGTGATCCCTTATTCAAAGTAAAAAATTTTCATGATTCCACCTTATGTTTACTATAAGAGTTAGTGTTTCAGTGATAAAAATTATAAGCCTATATAATTTATATGTGTGTTTCAGAAGGTTGATGGAGAATCCTTGACCTTGAAAGGTAAAGGGTGTGGGGGGAATTGGGGAGTGATATCTTCTCTGCTTTAGATTATAATAAAATGTTCAGTGCCTAGTGACCTCCTTGATTGCCTTTCATAACACACACACACACGCACGCAAGTGTTGCAATCCATTGGCTGAGAAACACTACTCTAGTTAATATCTTAGGAATTGCTATACCATATCAAATTTCAAACTACTAGTTTCAGTTTCCTATCTCAAACAGTAGCAAGTACTGGATGCATCTGAGCAAGGTACCTCAATCCCATATTGGACAACTATAGAATAATCTGCCCCTCCAGGAATTTTCTTCCTGTATCAATTAGTGGTTTGTTTATGCACTGAAGCATGAGGGCCTTTTAAAAGTTCTCTATTATAGCTATCGATGTTATTCATATATTTAATCCTAGCTGAAGTCTAAGCGGTTTGCCTCAATTATATCATGTGGCTATGGGCCCAAAGGGTTAATTCATTGCACAAGAGTGGATTCCTTTTGATCAATTTTAAAGCTGCTACCTTCAGGCAGTTGCTGTGCCTTTCACATAGTTTACTTTATTATCCTCTATCATATGGCTTTCACATAGAAGATAACAAATGGTATAAACTATCATGTCCCTTCTTATTTGCCTACTCTAAATTAAACAGCCCTAATTTTACAACTCTATTTTCCCACTGTAGAAGTCTTTCCAGGCCCCTAATCATTTTTATCAACCATCTTGTATTTTTACTTTTTCCTTTTTAAAATGGGGATTGCTAAATTCAGATGCAGAGTTAAGGGAACAGCATGGATTTAAGTGACGGTAAATATATTTCCATTCTACCCCATGCATGCCAGTTCTGTGCTGTGCTTCTTAAAAGCACAGCCCTGAAGAACCTGGAAAGTTCACAGTAATGAGTATATTTTCATATAAAATAGATGAAATACTTACAATAAATATTGAGTTTTTCCATGTATTTAGACAGACCAATAAAGAAATGTAACTTTTTCCCCCCTTAAAGACATTGCAGCCAAACAGGTGGAGAGAAAATTAATTATGAAATCTGTTGCCAAAAGCAGAGGATGCAGTGTCACCATATGAGCCAACAATGGAACAAATGGGTTCTTCTATTCACCGAGAAAACAAAATAATGGGCCCAAGTCCTGCATTTCTTGAACACCTCTGAGATTAAAAAGCTTTAGAGCAGAGGTCCCCAAACTGTGGGGCATGCCCCAATGGGGGGGGGGTATAGAGGAACATTAAGAGGGGTTGCAGCTGGGACCCACAGGGGGCAGATAAGGAGCACCACCCAGCTCTGCTCTGCCCTGGCTGCCATCCCCATGCCTGGGGCTCCATGCCCAGCTGCCAGCCTCAGGCTCCTGGCCAAAGCTCCGCTGCCAGTCCCACCCCTAGCTGTGGCCCCAGCTCTTTTACCCATGTCCGCAACCCCCCACCCTCCTGGAGCTGTGGCCCCACTCTCAGCCCTGGCTCCGGGAGGCAGGGGCATGAACAAGCATAATGGGGGGGGCATGAGGTAGAAAGTGGCTGGCTGTGGCATAGCAGGTTCTCCCTCATCTGGTGCCCGCTCCCAACAGTCATTCTGACCCTGTGGTGGTCTGCCTCTTTTCATAACTCAGGAATCTGGCCAGGTCACGTTCAGTCCCACCCCTTCCAGAGTAAACAAAGATCCTAACAAACTAAACTCACCCCTACCTAGGCTCACTCCTCCCTCATCAGACTTATTACCCCTTCTCAGGCTCTACAGGATTGTCCTCCCACTCTTGTGTGGGACAACACCTCCTAGGGCTTTCTTCTGGGAGGGCTGGTCTCAAATTCAATAGCCCTCCCCCACCTTTGTGTCAAGGTGTTTCCACATCACCACTTCCAGTGGACACATAGGGGGACCCAAGTCCTCCCTCTCCCCTGGGTTCTAGTCCAGAACCCATTTGGTTAGTAGCTGAAGTCTGCTCCGAGATGCCTCGCTGCCTCCCAGGATTTCTCCCTACCTTAGCCTTCCTTCAGACACTTTCTTACAGCCCCTCCCTGGGCTTATTTGACATCTGCTTCTCTCAGGGCCTTCCAGATACTCTCTAGTGACCAGAGGGATTGCAGCATTCTTTCTTTCTCTCTCTGCTGTCTCCTCCTCATCTGGTCTTCTTTTCCCAGCTGGGCTTTATCTACAGTTGAGCCTAGCTAACCCTCCAGCTGCAATCAAGTACATTAAATGAGCTCTCCAGCTCGTTTACCTTTTAGTGCCAGTGTGAGGTTTAATCCTGTCACATTCACATCAACTCACATTCTAACAGTGAGCGGACTACTTCATTGTCTTAGACTTCTTTTGAAGGGCAAGTTAAAAAAACTCGCATGTTCAAGTAAACTTTGTAGTAAAATAAAGAATGAAGTTTTTGCATTTTATCAGCCTCATACAAACTTTCACTATACAATAAAGAGACAGTACTTGCAAGCCAACAGCCCTATTTGTCTAGGCATAAGTGCTTCATTTAACGAGGGGACATAGGGCTCTGTATATTTGCAAAAATAAAACAGACTGTACTTAAATGATCTGCAAGTTTGAACTACTGTCTCATATAGAAAGCCTGGCTCAATGCAGTACCAAAACAGCCCTCTGGATTAATAAAAGCTAACTGCCATCCTTAACTAAACCAAAACAAACAGCTAGGAGGAGTGCCTATTTTAGAGGATGGGAACCTTCACTGAACTCACAAAAAGAGAGAGATCAGTTTTGGTCTAATTGTTAAAATGCTTATTTTGAGATTGTATGTGCTGCCTGTATCTGTCTCCCCCTTGGATAAAGGTAGGAAGACACTCCTTCCACTTAACTCATGAGTTGTGCCTTGTTCTTCAGGAGTTTGCATTGAATTCAATGGTTCTACCAGATGCTAGAGAGAGACAGAATCAAAATAATAGGAAGTTATCTCAATATGAGAGGCAGCACTTACTGCAGAAGTTCTGCTGGTCCTACTCCTCCCAAAGCTGTCATGTAGGGGGTAAGCAGGTGAAGAGAATGGCATGTATGTATGCCACACCTCTGAGATCCAAACAGATTTTGTAGGAAGGTTCAGGAAGGGGGATGTATTCTTGAGAAAAGTAGCAGGCTGGTCATCAGTCAAAAATTACCTTCCAATGCCCCAGTGAGAGACTGGGAAGCAACAGATCAGAGTGAAAGGAAAGATTCTAAGCCTCAGCCAGGTTTGACTACAATTCCAGCAGCAGCTCAAGACCTGGTGCTTTGCCTAAACAGAGGCTAGCTGATGGTCTCCAAGTGGCCTAACTTATCCCAGAAACACTGTAGTGCTTCTGGGAGCTTGCAAATCTTTTCTTCTGCAGTAAATACTACCTAATTAATAACACAGTACAAACCTCCAGCCATATTTAAAAGGCAACCCATCTGCTGGTACATTCTGAATTCAATAGTTATACACACTGGATGTGAATTGCTCTAACAAAGCTGTACAAAGAAGATGGTGGAAAAAAAATTCATAACTGAATTGTATGTGCAGTAAAATTGAACTGTAGGAAGAGATTTCTTCATGAATATTAAAAATGTGTGAGATACATGAAATGGGTACAGGAGGTAGGACACAAGCATTAAAGTTACAATGTATTGACATGTTTAAGGAAGTAGCAAAACAATTATGAGTTAGTCTATTTCATATGCATATGTAGTATACCTATGCAACACCTGCTATGAATGAAACAAATTCAAAGTTAAAGAAGCTTTAAGCCTTTAGAAATGACAAAAACACTTAAGACTTAGACACTCAAAAAATACCACAAAAGAAAACGCTACTTGAAATTAGACAAAGGTTTCTAACCATCAGAGGAGTGGAGTGAAGTTTTGAAATAGCCTTCCAAGGGAAGCAGTGGGGGCAAAAGATCTATCTGGCTTTAAGATAAAACTCGATAAGTTTATGGAGGAGATGGTATGATGGGATAACATCGTTTTAGTAATTAAATATTCATGGTAAATAGGCCCAATGGCCTGTGATGGGATATTAGATGGAGGTGGGATCGGAGTTACCCAGGAAAGAATTTTCTGTAGTATCCGGCTGGTGAATCTTGCCCATATGCTCAGGGTTTAGCTGACTGCCATATTTGGGGTCGGGAAGGAATTTTCCTCCAGGGCAGATTCGAAGAGGCCCTGGAGGTTTTTTGCCTTCCTCTGTAGCATGGGGCACGGGTCACTTGCTGGAGGAGGATTCTCTGCTCCTTGAAGTCTTTAAACCACGATTTGAGGACTTCAATAGCTCAGACATAGGTGAGAGGTTTTTCGCAGGAGTGGTGGGTGAAATTCTGTGGCCTGCGTTGTGCAGGAGGTCAGACTAGATGACCATAATGGTCCCTTCTGACCTAAATATCTATGAATCTACTCTAAAAATAATTAGGTTTTTTGTAAAGGTTTGCCATTATCAGTTAAGCAGAACTTGGAATCTTTTATATCTCCAAAAATCCCTTCATATTTCCTCGAGTATAGGTTCTACAGTACTTTGTACAACTTGATGCAAAAAGTGACCCTCATAGTCGGTCAGCTACACTTTAATATAACATACTGTTATAGTGTAGTCCACTTGCAACCTCGGCAACTTTTACTATTATGTGATTCACACAATTAATAGTTGATCATTTTCATAATACAGTATTTATGAAACCTTCAGAAAACCAAAAGCAATTCACAGCCCATAGAGAGACTAAATTTTTTAGTTCTTTCCATACATTATACTGAACTGAATATTTTCCAAAGCATGAGAAACTCCACACACTAAGAGTAGGATAGTTACCAACAATGCAGTTTTCTTATTTGTAAAATGAGAACACATACATTTCATTTTTTATTTTGTTGAAATGATATCGTTGAAAGTGAGCTCCAGCCCAGTCCACCACTTTTTAAATGTCAGCATCTCTCCCATTGACTGACCATAATTTAACAGGACAAAGCTAAACACTGAAGTGTAGTTGTAACCATGCTGATCCCAGGATATTAGACACACAAGCTGGACCAACTTATGTAGCTGTACATGTTTTTCAAATCACCATTAACAATTCGGTTAGAAAGTGATCATGTAGTACTGTACTTCTTTGCCAATACAATTCCTACAGATTTAAAATTTTGCCCTTAGTACCTAATTGGACTAAAAAGAAGAAATTGGGCTAAATGGAAGAAATAAATGTAGCTTAGTTTTAGGTAAAGTGTAGAGAAAGCAACAAGATAACTCCACTCACTTAGCTCCACTGTGGAGTTAGGGGAACAATAATGCAAGTAGGTATTCCAGAAACAGCCGAGTCAAGGGGGAGTGCAGAACACATGAATGCCATATGGCCAAAACTAGTATAATTACTCTGAGGTCCAGACATGGCATACAGGAGGTATAGCAGAGTCTGCCCACCTCCAAACTGGCTGTCTTCATCATTTCAACTACCTAGGAAGCATTTGATAAAAAAAGGAAAACAGAATTTTAGCTAAAGGAGACTGAATTAACTGCAATTTTTAAAAAATGAGCACAAAGCAAAAAAGGTTCATTAGTTTAAGTATATATGTATTCCTCAAACTTCCAATTTGTAACAAGGTCTGCACACATTATTTCTGTCAATTTAGACAGAATTTTGAAGACAATTTAGGTAGTAAACAACAAATACATGTTTAAACACTTTTAAAGGCATTTTAAAAAACAAAACAGTCTAGAGTTTAAAATGGCTCAGATAGTTATTAGCCTATCATACACAGTGTCTTAAAATTTATTGACCATAAAACAGTTCAAGCAGTGGTTCTCCCACTTTTTCCATCTGTGAACTCCTTTGTAGGAGAATAATCCTCTCCTTCGCCTTCTCTTCCAACCGCTCTACTTCCTCAGATGATTTGTTCAGGAAGCGTTTCAACACGAGCAACATGAACCGCTGGCTTAGAAAAATAATGTACAGTCTATTGAGTGAAACAGCCTTTTCAAGTTAATTCAGTACAAATTATATCTTCAGATTTAAAATAGTCAAGGACACTCAAAAAACCTGTGTATATGCACAAAAAGTTGTCTTATAATGTACAACCAAACCCAAGAGCCACTTAGATGACACTGTTAAGCTTTCTTCAAATAAAAAAATAGCACTTGCATGCATATAAGAACATTCTGTACATTCGATAGGTTAATAAAAATAAATCAACTGGTAAACCCCATAAGGCAAGGACACAATTCTTTTCTAATGACTTTTGTTGCAACCATTTTTTTCAGATCTGTACATTAAATGCATTTTCTCACCTCAATAATTAGGATATACAAGTCACCTTTGCAATATTGTATATTGCATTACAATATGCAGAGAATATCCTCAGTCTCTCATTAGTTCCTGTCTTTATGCAGTACCATACCATACTTAACTTATAACATTGAATGATGCACTAACTAAAGGCTGGATATTACATTGATTTGAATGGATTCTCTCAAAAACTGCTTTCCAGACATATAATTGGTTTTACAGTAGCAAAATTAATGCCACGTTTTGTTATGTAGCCAATTAAAAAAATTCCACTTAAATGCTTTTATATGAAGGAACACGTGCAGGGCCTGAGTCTTCTCTTACCATAATTTCCTTGCTTTCTGGGTTTAAGTCATATACTTAAATGTTATTGGAACCCAGTTTCCGATTCTCTGGAGCTGATCTGTTAAGAGATTAAGTACCCTCCCTCCCACAAGATAAGCTTTACATCTACACAGTAACTGACAATTTTGGGAAACTGAAATGTTTGGAATGTATGGGTATAGAAGGTTCTGAATATTGTGTAAAAAAAAATTAGTCATTAAGTAACTATAGGTTAAATCAGGAGGGAGGGAGGGAGGGAGGAAGAGACAACACCACTTGTTTTCACAGAGCTAGATGCATGTATATAACAAAGTTTTGGGCTTCATAGATTGTGGTAGGTGTTTATCAACTACATCTAGCAGGCATGCACAATTAGGAATATTTTTTCAGCATGCATAGGAATTTAGCTACCATGTCTCCCTGCAGTACAATGAAAATTATGAAGTTAGATGTCTGCATGTATTGCTGACCTATTCTCAAATTCTACATGCCAAGTCTCCTAGTAACTTTTTTTTAAAAGGGTTAATCTACATGCAGTTATGTATTTTTCAAGATACTAGTGGCAATTAGACCATATCACAAGTTATTCAATCAAGTGTATCTTTCAGTTTTCCAGGATGGATATTCACAACTCAAATGCAAACCTTTCAATATTAAGGTCATTTTGAGGTATACAAGAACATAAAAAAATAAGAAACTGAAAAAAAAAAATCACATTCCCAAGCTGTGTACCAAAGAGCATATACGACCCTCACTTGAAATTGATCTCAGTGGGAGTTATATATTGAATGAAGGCAGAATAGGACTCTACAATTCAACTGGGAGTTAAGCTTATATAAAAGAAATTTGTACAAAAGGCAAGAACAATAGGGAGAAGATGGAACTCCAAACCATTACCAAAAGCAGCACAAATGAAGTTCTGTGATTTACTATTTAATTTAACTGTTCAGACTTGGAGTGGTTTTAGAGAGTTAATGAAATTAGGGAACAGCTTATATGAAAGAATTTCTTCTATGTACAGAATTAAGCCTTAACATATCTGAATTAAGTTTATAATTAACATATCTCCATGCATAACAAGGAACTACATATTAAGATGTACATCAAAGAAGGGTCTGCAGTGGGATAAAACCAACAAGCATGAACTGCATACAGATGCCTACATATTCTGTGTAAAAAGTTCACATTACAATAATTTGGAAGAAATGCATAAATTCTCTTAACACACCTTCAGACAGACACAGAATCTAATTATACATTAGAATGATGGCCTTGGCAGAAAAGTATCTGGGTGCAAAAACTCTACTTTGTATAGTGCCTTAAATCTGAGCACCTGGCAAACTTTAATGAAGCCTCACAACCTTCTCGGTGAGGCAGGTATGGTAACTGCTATCCCCATTTTACAGATACGGGAACAGAGACAAAAGAAAGATTAATGAATCACCCAAAGTCACCAGGATCAAAACCCAAATCTCCTATCCCTGGTCCTGTACTCTAAAGTACTAAACAATACTACCAGCTTATATCTTCAAGATTAGCTAGTTTTCCCCTGAAAAAAAAAATTCCACATTCTAAAAGGTGCAATGAAATATCATAAGCAAGAGATAAGTAAAATTAATCAGCTGATAAGAACGAAGAATAAACACAAGATTCATATCAGTGTCATACATATCCCCTCTTGATTACCAGTTTATAAATCAACAATTCTCTAAACATACAATGCTGGTGAAGTCCCATACGTATTAAACAACACAGGTCCTGGCTATAGGAGAAAGGCAGTCCCACTTTCTCTTTTCTGTTTAAAAATGGGATCACCATTAGTTTTAAAAGTAAGATTAAACCGAAACCACATGTGCAACATTGAAGGTAGCAGGAAGAAGTAGATGGATTACCTAGTTTACCCTTAGTTAAGGCTCCATTGCTGCTCAAAGCCCATCAGATTGTATGTGGTTGGTTAGATAATAAATACTTTGGGCCTGGAACAATTTATTGAGTGTGAATGCTGTGCCCTGTGCATGCAATAAGATATTGACCCCTGATGGGAACCTCTTGCCACTACTTCAACACAAATAATAAATCACATAGATATCTGGCTAACGCATTGAGATAGATCTGGCTAACGCATTGAGATAGAAATGGATAGTTTCCCTGTCACCTGGAAGAGGGAAGATAGTTCACATGCATTAGAAGGTCTCCAAACCCTGTTTGTGATATAAAAGTCATGCTTTTAGAAAAATATTTATAGATTCCCTTCAGCCATGCTACTTATTAGGCAAACATTTTAAGCCATAAAAACTTGAACAGGGTAAGAACAGCAAATTCCAGGAAAATATTTTTAAAAATTGTACATGAATACTGTTTTGCATTTCATATTCCGTTAATAAGAGTGATTTTTATCTTATAAAAAAACTTTAAAATTTAAAAGCAACAGCGACAAAAGAATACAGCACTTCAAGCATGAAAGAAAATCTAGAAAAAAAAAGTAGTCATGGTACTCTAAGATGATTATGAATGTAGTTAAGTCCAGCATTTTTCGTTAGAGTAGGAAAACTAAAATTGTTCATTTCTGTGTTCAAAGGATGCAAATTTTGTTTCTTGAAAATACCTCCAGATAAAACAGTCTTAAAGAAAAAACAACAATGCAAAAACATTTACACATTATGCAATACACCAGTTAGTTAATAACACTGATCTCTGTGCATGTCTTTTATGTAAATAAATGCATGTATGAATTTAAAAAATGGACATCGCAGAATCTCTATCAGCCAATTAGCAAAAGAGATTTCATGACTACATCAGAAAGTTACATTTCATACTTGGGACAACTCAGCTGTTAAATACACACTTTTGAAGTGGTCTTCATTATTGTCCCCATGAATATTATGTCAACATTTTAACCAATACAATGCAGTACACAAATAAAATAAACTAAATTAAATGGAAACTGGATGTGTTTCACAACCTCACCTTCTAAAGATGAATTCATAACTGCCTTAAAAATTAAACCAGGTTTAAAATGGTCTTGTCCTTAAACTTTGTCTAGTTTTACATTATTACTTAAATATACACATGTACAGAATAAGACAGAAAATCTGTGATTATGATTATGCACACATTTCATGATACCAACAACATTTCACACCACCCAAGTGTTATTCTCATGAAGAACTAAAATCTTTTTCACCCATGGTTCTCAATTATCTCCATATTAGGATCCCCACACGCCTCCCATTTACCAATACAGGAAGGACAGGATAGTTATGATTCCCATAGTTCTTTGCATATCCCCTATGAATCATGACCATTCAGTTGGGGCCTCAGCATTGTGATGCTGAAGCATCATTTACATACATCATTTAATTCTGAGTTTTCACATGGACTTCTATAGGAGCAGAATCAAGCATCAGTTACGGTAGAATAGTGTATCCTCTCTTCTCCCCCACGTCAGTCTCTTATACACAGATACAAATAGTTACTTCAGCAATTTTGGATCACCACCAGTCAGTATCCTCTTTCTCTGAAGACATATTAATACAAAATAGACTGTTCCGTAAGATTTCTGGTGAGAACATTAAAGCACACATTTTTGGTCACTTCTTTGCATAAGGAAAACTAAGACACATTTTCCCTTTATTAATAGTGAAGATTTACCCCCAAGATAGGAATCTATCATAAATACTCAACATGATGCTGAGCATAAAACAAAGCAGAGCAGAACACAGGCATATTTTGGAATGGTCTTACCCAACAAAGTGAGAATGCTAACTTTTTGGATTCTTTACCTTTTAGCAAAGTTTTACAGTTAGTTGCCAATACTGAACAAAGTATAAAATCCACATTCAGACACACTATCCCTTTTTGTGATCATTCTTAATTGCAGAGTATATATATGAGAAACATTAAAACCAATAGTCTTAAGAGATTTCACTTTATAAAGAAATGGTGCACCAATTATTTGGTGAAGGTTAGAGCAGTACAGAGAACAAAGGAAAAGCAATTGTGACATGTCAACAATCTCAACATTAGTACTAGTCTCAGTACACTGAGATTCAGTGTTATTCACTTTTTCTTGGAACAGATTTCAGTTAACCTATACTTGAGGTATAAATATACACAAATATGTACAGTACACATAGAGGAAAATATTTTTGTATCTGTAGCACATTTCAACAAGTTTTAAAATACTGGAAAGTCAATACTTATGCCACTGATTTGCTTGCTAATTTACTGGAATAACGAGGCCAACATCTTCAACTAGGAAGGTTATACTGGAATATAAAATGTAAAGTTAAAAATTCTTTCCCCTCACTTCATACTCACCACACACAGTCCTGAGTGGCTTTATCTTGAGAAGAATGTCAACCACAGTTTTTAAACCTATCTTCAGAGGCAATGAATGGGGAAAACAAACTAGAACCTTCATCTTCATCTGTTTTCAAAGAGGTGGCCTTAATATGTGTGTGTGTAGAAAATAAAGTTGAAATATAAATACATCTAACCCATTATTTTTGCAGGTTACCATAGGTACAGTTAACCAAGGTATCCATAGGTACAGCACTTTTGTATGCAATGTCGGTGCAAAGAGGTCATTAAAAATCATCTGATTTTAAGTCTTGACATCATCCATTCAAGTCCTTGGCACAATCTGTAAATAAAAGAATTAAAATATGTATTTTTGCATAAAAAACTACCTACAAATATTCTGTCATGGTAACTTTAGTCAGAACTCAGACAGCATGTGCTCGTGAAAGTCCTGCAACCTTAACAGGTTCAATCTACACAACAATAAAAGTAAAACTAAACAACCCCTTAACAATATGTCTAGGCTTGGAAGGATTAGATTTTTAAATTGGTAAACGTTGGCGAACGTTGATTTCACCATACATATACAAACCAATGAAAAATATTATCAACAATAATAAAAATTGACAGATATACAAAGAAAAATGCTACTTGAACTTAGAGTTTGATTTAAGGATATTTTCTTTGTATATTTTGAGATGTGCTATTGGTGATTTGTGTTTTAATGGTTATACAGCTTTAAAATTTTTTGAATCTCAGCATCAACTGCCATTAAATAATTACTGCCTGACCCCCCCCCCACACACACACACACACACACCATAATTCACTGCCACTGTGAACTCTTAAAAATTGATAGAAATGGGGAAGAAATTTTAAAAATAAACATTGATATTATCCCTCAAAATGATAAAGTAAAAATCAAATTCTGCCAAGCCTAAATATGTCACCACACTGACCTGATGTGACCACATCTAGGGTCAGGTCAGTCTCTGTACCCTCTGAACCATCACTGCTCTGCTGACTTCCAAGAGTATCAGTTAGGTTGTGGTTTATATGATGTTAACATCTGTTAACAAGAAACTAGATTACTGAGCCAACTTAAATTCTATCTGAGCTAGACGAGCTCTACAATCTAGAGGAGAAAGGCTCTACATTTCATTACCATTCAGGATACCACTAAAATTCTCCCAAATAATCTTGAATATGAGTGCACTCAATTGAGTGTCAGATTTGAAATGCTCTTTTTGAATTTATTTTAAAATAAATTACTAGTGTCACTTTGGAGACTTGGCATTAAAATGTGTCTTCAAGTCACCTTGGTCGCTCTCCATTTTATTTTGCTTACTTCAGTGACAAATACCAGAAAAATAGATAAAAGGTTTCTTAACTCCCTGGTTCACATAAGGAAGCATGTGTTCTCTGTAACAGACATATCTGCTTTTCATTGTAACTGGCCACATACCTGCCACTGCTGCGTGCTTTAACAAAGTCTAGTGAGGTGAGTTTCACCTTTTAAAAAGCAAAACAACCCATACACGTAATGAATAGTATCTCTTCACAATACACAACAGTTATTTCCCAGTGCTACTAGATCTCTGGGGCAGGTCTTTATTTTTCTTGAATGTGCTATATGTTGCTGAATTTAATGCAGGGCCCTAAGAAGAATTCATGTTTAAAAGGATATCATTTTCAATGATTTTCAATGTTGCCTTGAGATTCCGGTCCCAGAATGCAGAGGTGTGTTAGGGGATGTATCTCAAATAATAGCCTATGTATACCACGATACAGGTACCAAAATTATTCAGAAAGTATTCCCAAGAAGAACTCTTACCCCTCGCCAGTTAGAGCACAGCATGCTTGGATATGCCACTGGTGATCTTTAACTGAAGTTAGTTTCAGAAACTGGGATATTTCAGCTATCGTCATGCACTCTTTAACATCTTGTTTGTTAGCAAAAATAAGCAAACCTGCTTTCTTTAAGTCCTACAGAGGAAAAGATGGAGAAAAATGTTTAGAGGCTTAATTATTTTTCTATTATGATTTCAGAGATTTTCAGAGTCAAATTAGGTTTCTGATTTGGAAGTGTCTTTATGATCTTGAAAACATTTGTGCATGCATCTTTCACTTAAGTGCCAACACACATTCTGCTTTTAGAATTCTGAAAGGTTTCAAAGTCCAGAATGAAAACATATTGCCTGTGTTTCTAAGTATAACTGAAATTTACAAAGTCTGAGAGTAACTGCTAGTCTAATAGTTTCTGATTGGCAGTGGAAACATTTGTCATTTTGTTTACAGAGTTTTTTCCACCTTTAAAATCTGTTATGGATCAACAGTGGATCAATAGTTCATTCCAGGGCTTGTGGACAAGGTGCATTATGACTGGCATCTGTAAATTATTACCCTAAGTGCTAATCATTATTTTCCTACCCAAAAAAAGTTCAACAAAATGACTCTAATGAAACAAATGCAAGTCTCTTAAATACCCAGTGTCATACAATTGATATACTAACTACAATATTAACTACAACATCCTCCTTGTAAAAGCGTTTCTCATTTATATTGGAGATCTTCCCTTCCCTCCAACATGAGTATTTTCTGCTACCTAAAACGAAAAGGCTGGTTTGCAAGAGGCATCTGAATCATTTGTGGTATTTTCACTCAGAAATACTATATTGGTCTCATTCATCTCCCTTATCAAAGCTTTCTTCTGTGGTTTCACTAGAGAGAGTGTGATATATACTGGGTTCTCGTTTAGTCAATTATCACATATGAATTATTTAATTATCTTTCTAGGGCTTCAATATTTCCCTACAGCCTTGTAAGTTGTTTTAATGTTTTCTGGTCAATTTTATTCTTTTAACTCCATTTTAATACTCAGAATATTCCCAACATTTCTAGAAAGAATCAGATGTTCTCAATTTTTATTGTTTCAGTTCACAGAAGACCTCTACAGGTTTAAGTATCAGCTTGCTTTTGGTTATATTTCGTTAAGTAAAACAACAAGACTCAGAGCTATTTGTTGCACAGAAAGACACTTCAGTTATTCAACAAGGAAAACAACTCTGACCCCATTCAAAAAGAGGTGGGAGGGAATTAGGAAGGAACAGAGTAATGGAAACCTTTTCTGTTTCTCTACCCTCACCTTCTTGCAGCAGCCAAGAGCCTGTGGAGTGACAGAACAGCCAGAACACTGATCTCTGCTAGCGAGATATATATAAAAGATAGAACCCCTAATCAAGGTCTGGAGACAGCACCCTAGTACTTCCCATCAGCCATGGATGGGTTCATATAAGTGCTGCTCTTGGACTTTGGGCTACCCTCCACCCTCCTCTTCATCTACCTGCAGACAGCAGGTTTAGTCATCCAACTAACAGTTATGTGCTTTCCAAGTCAGGCATTCAGAATTCTGTCAGACACTACAGACAGATCACTTTCTTGAATTTACTTTACTGTATAGAAGAGCATCACTAATTTAAGATCACAACATTGTGCAGTTCTTAAAAAGAGTTATGTTTTCTTATCAAGATCTTTTCCAGTCAAACTTGTACATATCTCAGAAATTAAAAGCTTTTGTTCCAGCTTGCTCCTGGGACAATTCCTCAAATGTAGTTAAAGGTCTAGATAAGCCATCCTGTATCCAGATTTCACAATAAAATGTTTGACTTATAAAAACTGAAAACACAGGATCTTTATACTATTATTTACATTATTACATATTTCTTGGTAGGATTTCAAGTCAGGACCCAGGAACAGCTGTCTAAATCTGAGTAATCTCAGCTCTTACCCACAACGAATAATCACTTATATTTCCTAGGGATAAAGTCTTGATTATTAAAGACAGTAGCTAAGGGAAAGGGCGTCGGTGTCAGGAATTTAAGACGTTGGTCCAAAGCAGGATTTGAACAAAGAAATTGATCTGGAAGAGTGGGTCTCTATATGGGAAAGAGGATATAAATCTTCATTTTGTGTAGTTAAAAGAAAACTGTTATACAATATAGATGGATCTTAACTGGAGTCAGATGCCATCATGTCTTTGTTAGTAGGGAAGTGCTCTGTTAGAGGGGTTGCAGGAAAAGGGGAACATACTTGCACATGTGGTGGTTGTGTCCAAGAATTAAGACAGTTTTGGGAGGACATCATTACAGAGATTCATCTATGCAAAATATCAGCTTCCTAGAGAACCTTAATGCTCTGGCAGAGGATACACATTTCAAACAGAATGTTATTGTTAGCATGAAGAATTAATATTGCACATTATTGGAAAAATATGACTTCTCCTATGGAATTGTGGTACAGTAAAATATGGACTGTCCTTGTAAAGGAAAAAACTCTTAACAAGTATGTACATAAGAGAATGGCTAAAAAGAGGATAGGTATTTTGAAATCTCAGCACCCTTTTTAGCATATTCAGAAGAGGAGGGCTTCCCAACCATCATGCCACAAACTTTAGCCAGATTTTTTGAATATTAACCTTATCCTGAAAAAGCAATGTATGATGTGGCATGTTAATGTTTCATTGTAACTTAACTTTAAAAAAAAAAAAAACTTTTTATTAAGGCAATATTGTAGTAGGGAAACGAGAGAGAAAAGAGAAGAGTCAGACTCATTTTTTGTGAATATATTTACAAATAACCAAGCGTGTAAGGTAAATAATACATTCACATGCTATTTATTTGTGAGAAAGAGAGTTGTAAATGTTCACCAAAAATATAAAAAACCCACTACTCACCTCATGTGCTAACATTTTATAAAGTTCTTCTTTAGTTACAGAAATTCGCTCTCTGTCTGTGCTGTCCACAACAACGATGACAAACTTTAAAGGGTAAAAAAGGATCAGTAAACAAATATATAGTGTGCATACTCTTAAATCATGTTTAATAGATGTGCACCCTGGGTCATAAGCAAAGTGTTAACTTCCTCCCTCATACATAGGGCCCTACCAAATTCACGGCCATGAAAAACATCATGGACCATGAAATCTGGTCTTTTGTGTGCTTTTACCCTATACTATAGAGATTTTTTGGGGGAGACCAGAGTTCCTCGAATTGGGGATCCTGACCCAAAGGGGAGTTGCAAGAGGTCAAGGTTATTTTAGGGAGGTTTCAGTATTGCCACCCTTACTTATACACTGTCTTCAGAGCTGGGTGGCTGGAGAGCAGCAGCTGTTGGCCGGGTGTCCAGCTCTGAAAGCAGAGCCCTGCCAGCAGCAGCACAGAAGTAAGGGTAGCAATACCATACCATGCCATCCTTACTTCTGTGCTGCTGCCTTCAGAGTTGGGCATCCAGAAAGTGACGGCTGCTGACAAAGGGCCCATCCATACCATGCCATCCTTACTTCTATGCTGCTGCTGGCTCCTCATGGTGAGCAGCCTCCGCTGTTCAGGTGCCCAGCTCTGAAGGCAGCGCTGCCATCTGCAACAGCGCAGAAGTAAGGGTAGCAATACCACAACCCCCATACAATAACCTTGCAACCCCCCCCCACAATTCCTTTTTGGGTCAGGACCCCTACCAACTACAACACTGTGAAATTTCAGATTTAAACAGCTGAAATCATGAAATTTGCTATTTTTAAAATCCTAGAACTGTGAAATTGACCAAAATGGACCGTGAATTTGGTAGGGCCCTACTCATATGCATATTACAGTTCTGCTCAGAAATCAATGGTTTGTTGATAATTCTAGTATTAAAATATTTGTAATTTATGTTTAAGTTGGTAGACAAATAAATTTGGCATGCAAAATTCCTGATTATTTTATTTAAGTCCTCTTTTAAGTTGCTTATTTCTACAATTCAGGAATCCTGCTCTGTTATAATGACTTTGGATTTCACTTTTACCCATTTTAACTGAACAATTGTTTCTTAAGTTTCTGCAAGCATTTAGGGTGAAATACTGGCCTCACTGACTACACTGAGGTCAAGATTTCATCCTTAATCAACTACAGTTTTAGGGGTAGACTTTCAGTGGTACAGAGGCACCCAATTCCCATTGACTGAAATATGATATACTCTTACAAAAAGAGCAACACACTAACTCACAGAATTCCTTCCCCTACCTGCCCTGCTATTTTGCAATGAAATGACTAGCAATTATTTTAAAGGGGAAAGTGGGTAGCCAGTGCTAGGGTAACACACATACGCTCCCCAACCCCCACGTCAAGTAAAAGCATGCAGTTGGAAGACAGGAAATCTAGAGTTACACGCACATCTGAGTCTTGAGAATGGCCAAACAGCTACAGTATTTATGATGATTAAATCATTTTTCAGAAGGTAAAGTTTCTTCATTATTTAGTACAGGTATAGAGTATAGAACATTTAGCACTGAAGGAAAGCATCTTGATAATACAGCAAAGGTTCCAATTTAACTACACAGAGTTGCTGATATCACCATTGAAGTACTTTTCTTAAAGATACATGAATATTGGTGATGTATATGTTGAAAGAGTTCAGTGTGGGTTTTGTGCCTTATTAAGGTTGTCTGTGAAAAGCGTAAGGGGAATTTTCACGTGATTATTCTCATTTTTAAAAAGGGTACCTTACTTGGAAGAGTTCTTACTTGTTTTGATGGTTAGTTTCTGGTTCTTTTACATTATACTGTTTTGTTATGTAGCTTACGTGATATATAGGTGTGAACTGAAACAGCATGCTAAGGAGAGAACATACAAATTGAAATACAAGCATCCAGAATGTCTACAAAGTGCTACAGTAATATCTGAAATGGAGTAAGATATAAACTTTAGTTAACCAAACTCTCTCTTGGATTATTCATTAAGATGTTATTTTAATTCCTTATAAGAACATATCTTCCAACAGGGAATAAACTCTTACCTCTGTGTTTGTATAATAAGTATTCCATGAAGATCGAAGAGACTCTTGCCCTCCAATATCCCACATTAGAAAACGTGTGTTATTAACCACTATCTCTTCTACATTGCTGCCTATCGTAGGAGAGGTATGCACCACTTCATTCATAGAACTACAAAAGGAAAAGAATGAATGATCAAAAACTGCATACGCAATGTTGACAAAAGTCAACTGTATTTGGAGATGCAGTATCACACATACTAGACCACAAAATTGGCCCATTTTTAAAAACTAAAATGGACAGTTGTCTCAGATTGGAAGGCTCATCTGCAGAATGGTGGTAGGCATTCTTTGACAACAGAAAGGTGAAGTAAAGAAAGAGCAGATGAATGATTTACTCTTGTTCACTCAGTGAACAAACTATAAAACTGAGGGCTTGTCTACATTACCCGTTGGACCGGCGGGCAGCAATCAATCCAGCGGGGGTCAATTTATCGTGTCAAGTATAGACGAGAAATCGACCGCTGAGCGCTCTCCTGTCGACTCCGGTACTCTACCAGAATGATAAGCGCAAGCAGAGTCAACGGGAGCGCGTCAGCTGTCAACTTACCGCAGTGAAGACACCACGGTAAGTAGATCTAAGTACATCGACTTCAGCTACGCTATTCACATAGCTGAAGTTGCGTATCTTAGATTGACCCCGCTCGGTAGTGCAGACAAGCCCTGAGAGAGCACTTCTTTTTGACTCTGTTTTAAGGGCTTTTACTGCTTAAGGGTGGGTAGAAAAAAGTCAAGTTTCTCCCCTCCCCCAATGAAACCTGGCACAATGTAGCTCAGTCTGGGAGAGAATGATTGTTCTTCTCCAACTCTGAAATAAAAGGAATGTTGCTAAACCACTTGATTTATAAGATTGATGAAAAATAATAAATAATAAAAAACCAAGACAACCCCATCCCAATATACTATATCAGTTCTCCTCTTCCGTTTGCCTAAACCTGCCACCATAAGCCAAAAACCACTTACCGTATATACTCTATCATAAGCCGGATCGTTTATAAGCCAACCCCCACAAGATGGAGAAGTAAAAATGGAATTTTTTTATGACCCATTCATAAGCTGACCCTATAATTCAGGGGTCAGCAGATTTTGGCTCCTGGGCCATCAGGATAAGCCACTGGTGGGCCAAGATGGTTTGTTTAATTCGAGCGTCCACAGGCATAGAGGTAAACTTAAGTAAACAAAGTGTCCCAGCACGCCACCTGCTTACCCTGACTGGCCAGGACAGCAGCTGGTGGGGAACATTTTTTTGGGGGGGTTGGGAGGGGGGGGAAGGGAGAAGCTGGGGGTCAGGGGCATAACCCCTATGACCACCCCCCATATGACCCCACACCTAGCCATGGACCCCCACACTCTCCCCATCCCATCCCTTCCCACCATAGCTGGGGAGGATGTCTCTGGCCTGGCTGGAGCTGCTCCGGCAGGCAAGACTGGGCAGCGCGGCCGCAGCTTGTTCCAGCAGGCTCGGCCGGGTGGCATGGCCACAGCGTGCTCCAGCGTGGCCACAGCCTGCTCTGGGGGGCGGGGGCGAGCGGCACAGCTGCAGCCTGCTTCAGAGGCTGGGGAAGAGCACCATGGCCAGAAGCGGAGAGACTCTGGCCCTGCCTCTTCCCTTCTGGCTCCGCTGGCTGTGCTGCCTCTCCTTGCTCCCTCTGTTGAGGGGAGGGGCTGTGTCCCACTTCTGCCGCTCTATACCCATTCATAAGCAGACCCCCTTCTCTGATGCTTCCCTTTTTTAAATGAAAAAATTCAGCTTATGAACGAGTATATACGGTAAGTTAAAGAAAATGTTTGAGAAATGATTTTTAATGGAGATCAATTGCTTTGTCTTTTGAGGAAAAACCAAGATATTTTAAAATGCTGTTTTGCCAAGACAACCAAAGTAACACATTAGTAGTAGTATTCATGAGTATCTAAAACAGGGATTCAAAGTAATTGAAATGTATTGCAGTACTGCCCACACAAAAACATTTTCAAGAAAAATGAAGCATTTTCAAGAACTTGCTTATGATTGCTATTGCCATAAACTGACCAGTGCACTTGACAAAAATTAAAAGACTGTCTAAAGTTTTCCAATTTCTTCTAACTCTTTGGTTGCACAGAGAGAGATTTGAGATTGAAACACTGTTAGAACATCATTTGAACAGAATCCAGCAGGAGTGAAGAGGGGCAGGGATAGTCTAGTATTCTGGGAAAGAATCCCCACTGCCCAGTGGTATATGAGCATGTAGTAAGTAATTTAATCATAACATACATTTGTAAGGAAGATGAAATAAGGGCAGGGTCAGAACAGAAGGATTAGAAGTAGACAGAGCAACAGATAGAAGGGAATAATGAAAATGACAGAGCAAGACACCTTTGCTTGAATTTCATATTTAAAACAGAACATACTCCAGACATATATTTAATTAATTTATTTAGAATCTCTTTACTTGTGTTCCTAATTACAAACATTTTTAGAATTAGGGAAATTGATTTTACTTTTCATAACGTATGGGGTTTTTTGCATTTTTTCAGCCTGAACAATGATAATAACTGAGTCAGTTTCATTTTCTGGCTTTTATTGTGCTAATGTATGCTTAGGTTGCAAATACTGCATGGGCTTTGAGTTTCAAACAAAACAACATTAAAAGAGTTATAAATACATCTGTTTTGAACAAAATCCAAAACAACAGCTTATGGTGTAACCTAGACGACAATAGCTCTTTAAACACTCCATGAACAGTTCTTGGGATTGAGTCAGAAGAGTTTTCAAAATACTGAAGTGCTTACTGTGAAAAGATACACATCTCCCTATTAAAAAAACCTGTAACATGAAGATTAGAGGTGGTTTTGTCAACTAATTCGACACAAACAGCTTTTACTAACATGGATCTTACCCCAGGACCCCATTTCTGGCTGGCTTTTAGGCACTACATAGTAACAACACTTCCACAAAATGTATGAATCTCAGTAACTTTGCGCATACTGGTAGTCCCCCCGACATCATAATGTATACATATTATAAATGCCATTAAGATCCTGAATTCTGACCAGCAAATAGCCATAGCTTGTTATGGTGCATTGATATTTATGACACAGTTCATTAAATATAAGTAGCTCCAAACCCTGCTGATGGGCCAGAATCAGATGCTTTCTAACCAGACTACAGGATTTCCCTTTTATGTATGAAACGATCACCACCTATGCTCAGTGTGCTGCTCTTAAATGGGGGTTAACGAAAAATCAGAGGAAGCTACAGAGTGGATTTTTCAAAAATACATTTTTGCCAGCGAATTCATACTATGTACTTACAACTGGTAAAGGATGGTTGTTTTTCCTGCATTATCCAGACCAACAATGATTACTTTGTGCTCTGAAATAAAAATTTTATTGGTAAGTCACAGTTACCACTGTAGCTAATAACACTTTAGTGCTTTTCAGCAAACAGTTCACATTGGTGCTTGTTTTAAATTTTTTTTTTTTTTTTTAAAAAGCATCAAAGCAAATTGTATACACAGATAGTTCATGTATAGCACACAGCACAACTGGGCCTTGATCATTTTTCAGCACCTCTTATAAGTAAATTCATTTTGAAACCAAATGCCAACCTCAACCAAGTATTTGTATTCATTCAGCATCTCTTATTTCCTATTTACCATAATGTAAATTGAAGAAGTGGTACTGTTGGTAGCTACTCATCGTGGGCTAAAATACATAACTTTACTCAGTTTTATTGACTTCAAAGAGAATGCACATGTGAGTAAGGGCTCATCAATGTAAGCAAGGGTATTCTTTTGCCCAAGTGGTCTTCAGACATGCTAAAAATCAAGCCTCTGAAGTATACCCAAACCTCAACCACAGCAGTAATTACTCCCATTACAGCTGCATTTGTTCTATTACAGGGGATCACATAAGTGCTTTTTTGTTTTTAATCAATATTGTGTGGTTCTGTTTTTTAGCCCAGAGGGTATGAATTGAAGTTTGAACAACTTGGCATAACTGCACAATATTGTAAAAATGGCAGATTACCTGACCCCCTGTAAGTAGGCACTTCTGTTTTAGGTGTGATGTCTCCAGCATACTGGATGCTAGGAAATCACTTGGAGCAGAAGATCTGCAGTGGAGCTGGATATTGCAAGATTTTAAAGACAAAAAAGTGGGGTTTAAAAGTTTTTGTGCTGAATGGAAAATGCTCTGACTATGGGAGCCATTCAGCATGGTGTATAAAGTTGTATAAATTCATTTGAAAAGCAACTTTAAAGGAGCTTACAAATTCTACCTACACAAAAGTTAACATGCATTTTATGTGATATTAGAGATCTTTCAGAAGAAAGTGGCATTAGGAACAAAATATATTGTCTCTAAAATAAGCAGTTTTCATGACAGCTACTAAGACTTACTGACTGTCACTAATAAAACATACATTAAGCAACAAGACCCGATAGAGCATATTCAGCAGTATGGTATGATTCTATGTATGTTATTGCAATTAAAATATTGATATTAAAAATAAGTTTTATAAATTATTTGGGGATGAGCAAAATATTTATGGGATACCCTTCTAGCTGCTATTTCCCTCCACACAATGCTGCTCAGAATCCCTCTTAATCATGGCTACAGGTGTCACTAATGCTTCCTACATAGTCCAGCTAGCTTTTTTTTAAACACAAATTGAAAGACAAATTGCAAATAGCTTAATACTGTATATAAGGTTAAAAAATAAAACAAGCCATGAAAAAGGCTGCTAATTAACAGAAAACTACTGTGGAACACAAGGTATTCAGATATTCTACTTGTTACATCTAGTTAAAAAAATGAGACAATGCAAAAAAAATTACATAGGAAACCCCTTCATTACCACCTGATAAGGCAAAATTCAACTACCATCAAATTACACACTTTTCAACTCAAGGGGGAGGTGGGGGGGGGGGGGAAACAAACCTACTTTTCTTTGCAGAGTTCGTATCTATTATGGTTACAAGTAACCTAAGATTATTTTAACTACAAGTAGTACATTTTTAGAGCAACTTATTCACTTTTTGCATTTGACAGCAGTTTGCTTAGTCAGTTTTATTTTTTCCCTTGCGCAGGTTAGTCACTTCCTTTTCTCCTGAACCCCCTGCCCCATAAATACAACAGAGAAGCAGAAAAAACTCAAACACATTAACTAAAAGTTTTCCAGTGTGCCTTATTGTGACCACAGAATGCATACCTGAGCAGTGTACTGTGGTAAGTGCCACCATGTCTCATTAAAAAAATGTATCAAACTAGGATGTGTGTTATGCTCACTACTTCTTTATTACCTGACCCAGGGTAAAAATTGTGATTTGGACCCTTTTCATAATTCCTGAAACATCTTCATGTCTGTAGCACTTTCATGAAGCAGTATGTCATATCTGTCGTTAAAGGAGTGCTGTTTTGAGTACGGTATGTTTTCTCCATCTTCACTTCTCTGCCTAATTTCTACAAATCACTTCTATACCTTTATTCTTTTCTGCCAACTCTTGTCTCTGGCTTTAAACACATTATTAAGGGACAATTATTAAGTAATGTCCAGCAAATAAAAAGTAATATGTGGAGTTCATTTGTAAAGATTACTAGCCAACTTTTCTGTTAAAACTCAAGAGCAATTGGACTAGTTGTTACATGGACTAGAAAAAAGAGAATACTGTATAAGAGTAACATGGCAGGAGTAGTCACATTTGTCTTGAAGCTAATCTACTGAGGGAAGGAAACGTTATGTGGCACCATAAGAAGCTGTATTTGGTTCATACTTAAATAATTCATCTCTTGGCCTTCAAGTACTCTGTGATCTTCACAGAGCGTTTTTTCCGAAACATAAAAACCAAACTAGGTTTTGTAGACTCATTAAGGCAAAAGTCTGTAGAGATGCAGAGAAACAAGTTTACTTATACAAACAGAGTACGCTTGATACAAAAGAAGTTAATGATACAGCTTATTTCTTGAAGCTGTGCTTGCCCTTTGGGAAAAACAACAACAATCGAATCTAATCTGAGCAGAAGAGGAACGTGGTGTATTTTAGCCAAAAACGGAGCGACCCAGCGCTGCTTTCGGACACTTTTCGCTCCAGCTGCAGTATGAGGAGTGACCCCCTCGGCTCCTCACAAACGCTTCTGAGTCCAGCGGAGACACGAGAGCGCCTGCTGCTCGCTCTTGAGCCCTGCACGCCTCCGCACTTCGACAGGGAACCTGGACTCGGGTGTGCCCGGCTCCCCCCGCCGCCTCCAGCCCAGCCTGCCCCGCTCCCACCGCGGGCGGTGTATTGATGAGGCCGCAGGCGCGCTGGGTTCCACGGAGCACCTGCCCCGGGCACGGGCGGCGAGCGTGACACGTAAACAGAGCACGGAGCCGGCACAGCCACAGCGGAGCCCCGGGACGCCTCGACCGGGCCCCGCCCCCCCCGGGCCCGGAGAGCTCCCCGCCCCCCAGCCGAGCCCCTCACCCTGGTGGTTGAACAGCCTCCAGATCCTGGTGAAGAGGATTCCCATCCTCGGGCGGACCCGGACCCGCGGCAGCTCCCGTCTCCTCTGGGCTCCGCGGCGGCTCTCCCTGCTGGGCCCAGGGCGGCTCAGTCCCGGCCCCTGTCCCGCGCTACCCGACGAGGTGGCAGGCTGAGGCCGCGCCGGGCCCGCTGGGGCTGCGCACTCCTGGCCGTGCAGCCCCCGCTCACGGACATCGCCGCTAGCCCGGCTCCCGTTTCCGAAACGACGTCCCGACCACGGCTTCGAGGGGGGAAATAAAATGCAGCGAGTAGCTCCTCCCGGCCACCGTCCACCCGAAGGGCCGAGCGAACGAGAGGGGGGCGTGACGCTATGGGAGCGGATCATTTGCATACCACAGCCCGCCCCCTAGTGGGCGAGTTCTGCGAATGGGAGGAGACGCTCTCGTGACTCATCTTACCCTTGTGGCCCTAAACCGCCGAACGAGCCGTCGCGCGCTCCGCCTGCAGCCCGTGCCGCCTCGCTGGAGGCTGGGCCCTTGCATGCGGGGCCGAGCCAGGGCAATGGGCCTGTGGCCTCCGCCAGCCAAAGGGCCGCAGAGGGCCTGCCCCTTACAGCACCCACAGCTCCTGCCCATTCAGCAGCGCCACTGGGGCCGCCCTCCCTCATGCTTAGCGTCGCCCCTGCCAGCGCTCGGGGCCGCCCTCGGGCAACCGCCATAACTGCCCCCTTCCAGCCTCTGTAACTGCCCCTCGGCCACTGCGAACCGCCACGACTGCCCCTCCTCCCCCCTGCCAACCACTGCTGCACTTGCCCATTGCTCCCTGCCAGCCCTCTGTGCCTCCCCCAGACCACTGCCGTGACTGCCCCTCACTCACCCCCTGCTAGCTGCTGCTGTGTCTGTGCCTGGTTCCCTGGCAATCACCTTCATAACCACCTCTCACAACTGGCCTGCTGTGACTGCCTAGGATGACCAGACAGCCAGTGTGAAAAATTGGGATGGAGGTGGGGCGTAATAGGAGCCTATTTCAGAAAAATACCCCAAAATTGGGACTGTCCCTATAAAATCGGGACATCTGGTCACCCTATGACTGCCCCTTACTCCTTGCCAACCACCGCCATGAGTGCCCAAAACCACCAGTGTTACGCTGCAAAAAACACCACGTGTGACTGTGGACAAGAGAAAGGCTGTATTGCCAACTCTTGATTTAATCAAGTCTCACAGGGTTGGGGTGTTTTTCTTAAAGCCCAACTTCCTGGAGCCAGGTGATTATATGAGAATCTCAGTTTTCATTTAAAAGAAAATAAGTTTCCTAGCCCTTATGGTTGTGGAAAGAATCTTGAAAATATGAATCCTAAGGGCTCAAAAAACAGAAGGCATATAAAAAGAATGCCAAATGTATTATCTTTAAAATCTCATGAAGATATTTAGGGGCCTGACTAATGATTTTTAGATGTGTAGGGGTGTAAGTACTAGCTCTGTTTCTTGCTCTGAGTTACCAGGGAACAATTGAAGGGTAAAATTTTGAGGGCTGGATTCTGATCAGGGTAGGGAAAGAAATGAAACCCACTTGCTGCACTTATATGGTGCAAAAGTTATTAAAATGTTTGTAAGTATTATGGCCAGCAGCAATCTGCATTGACATTTTGCATAGGTATCTCAGGTAGTGGTACACTCATAAACATGTGACCATACCATTTGCCCCTAGGCTGTGACTTAGAATGCCTTTCTGCAGTTTCTGTTGCAGAGGGTCCAACAATAATTCACTGTTAAACTGGAAGGATGTAGCAAGGGGTACTGGAGGGGGCTAGCCTGGGTCCACTACTATTCAGTATTTTCATTTATGACTTGGGTAATTAAATAGAATGCATAAAATTTGCAAATGAAATCAAGCTGGGAGGAGTTACAAGCATTTGGGAGGACAGGAGCAGAATTCCATAGTTTTGAATAATTTGTGAAATTGATCTGAAATCAATAAGATGAAATTCAATAAAGACAAGTGCAAAGTAGTACACTTAGGAAGGAAAAATCAAACACACAAATACAAAAATGGAAATAATTGGCAAGGGGATGCAGAAAAGGATATGGGGATGATAGTGGATAAATTTAATATGAGTCAACAACATGATGCTGTTGCAAAACAGGCAAATGTCATTCTGGGATGTATCAGTAAGTTTCACATATAAAACATGGGAGATAGTTGATCCACTCTGCTCAGCAGTGGTGCGGCCTCAGCTGGAGTACTGTACTGTGTCCAGTTCTGAGCACCACGTTTCAACAAAGATGTGGACAAACTGGTGACTGTCCAGAGGACAACAACAGATATCAAAGGTTTAGAAAACCTGACCCATAAGGAAAGGTTGAAAGAATTGGGCATGTTAGTCTAGAAAAAAGAAGATAAAAGAGGTGGGGGTGGGAATATAGCAATAGTTTTAAAATATGTAAAAGGTAGTTTTGAAGAGGATGGTGATCAATTGTTCTTCATGTCCACCAAGCATAGAATAAGAAGTAATGGGTTTAATCTGCACCAAAGGAGATTTAGGTTAGATATTAGGAAAATCTTTCTAACTATAAGTATACCTTTCCCAGCCATGAATAAGAGCTCAGTATAGCTCCAATCCTTGTCTCTCTCACCAACAGAAGTTGGTCCAAGCACTCGCCCTGAGCACTGAAACAGGCTACTCAGGGAAGTCATAGAATCCCCGTCATTGGTGGTTTTTAAGAACAGGTTAGATAAACATCTGGTAGGGATGGTCTATGTGTACTTAATTATGCCTCATCATGTAGTGGATGGGCTAGATAATCCCTTGAAGTCCCTTCTACCCATACATTTCTATAATCCTATGAAGTTGTCTGCATGGGTATGGAGACAGACAGAATATGCATAGACAACTTCCATCCTGTTCTCCCCATGTTGACTGTGAGTTACCTAGCAGCTCCAGTGCATAAAACCTGCTAGAATTTGGCCCCCAAATCCTAAACCTGTTACACACATCCATGATTTTTCACTTATCAGTAGTCTTTTTTACTTCAGTGGGATTACTGACTGTAATTTTAAACATGCATGTGTTTTTTACATTAGGGCCCAAATTTGTAAGACCACGCTGCAGTACTTGGAGTCAGATTAAGTAATTCTCATCTGTAAGTAGGTTTACATTTATAGAGTTACTAGATTTGGTAAACTATGAGCACAGAATGAGTTCTCTGAAAAGGTCAGGATTCTTGTAAATTTACCATTATAGATGGGCAACATGAACATCAAAAATGGGACACAGTTTGTTTTTTTAACTTCAAAAAGCATCTTTACATGTTTAAACCATGTTACTGTAAACATTTGATCGACCTCAAAAGTTATTCTACTAATCTTGAGCATGTATTTAAATGCTACTTATCTAGAGTTTAAAGTGGCCACCAAGACCCTCATTCAAGCTGCCTGCAGCATTTTTGAAATGTTTTTCTGATCCCCTAAGTATTTTAAAGTGCTATAACAGATTTTTGTTAAAAGTGACTGTATGTATCAAATGTATCAAAGAAATTTAGAATCACTTGAATGCCACAAAGATACAGAGCGTACCACAGTGCATGTGTCAAGTTTTACATGACAAATGTGCCAATTGTCCTTCGTACTCTGGCTGTATTGGTTATTTAACAATTGTAAAATATATTCCAGACCACCTTCAACAAATAAAAAAAATTGCTGTACTCATGTGATACAAGAGCAATTGCACTGGTTTCCTCAAGACTGCTGGAAAGCACACACATGTCCAGTTGCTTTGCATGAAGCAATTTTTGTGCCTGCTAACAGTGACCAGCAATAATGGAGACTCTAACAGGGCATATATTTTCACTTCAGAGAAATGAAAGTTTTTCTAGATCAATAGTCTCATTAAAATAAATTTTTGTGGGCAATTTTTAATGGATACATAGCATTAAGTGTGAGATACATGATGATTTGACATTGTCCATCTCTAATGAGACTCTAAAAACAGAAAACAATTTTATAAGTCATCTAAGGCATGGGATTCTCAAACATTTTTACAATAGGATTTGTCTCACGGACTGCTGCCTGACCCAGCCTTCCAGTTACAATCCTGTTGGTGTTAACACAAATTCCTTGTGGCAACTAGAGATATTGCTTACATGGAAGAGTAATAATAGGAAAACATGTAGGTACTTCAGCTATCTCTAATAAGTGTTGTGTCATTTTTGAAAACCCTAATGATATCTTCTTTTGCTTTGCATTTCCTCCTCCTTTTTTCTGTTTCTATGCACATGCTTCTCTATCACTCGCTCCCTTTCTCACCTACTCCTCTGCTGCCTGGTACTCCTTTCCCCCTGGATTGCATATCAATCGCTTTCCTGCTGCTTGATCTCCTTCTTCCTTGTATACCTCGATCTTCCTTCCAGTCCGCTTCTGATGTGGACATTCCTTTCTAACTGGATGGAGAAGAAAGGGCATAAGACCTGATCCATTACAGAGGAGATACTGTAGCAGCGCAAGTGTCTTATGAAAAGTGGGCCCCGGCTCTCTGGATTGGACGAGTGCTGTATGGACTGAATTTTGGATGAGAAATACCTTATTAGACAGGAAAGTAACGTGTTAATAAACGTAGGCTATAGAGTGCATGTTATGTGCCTTGTGCTAAGGAGAGTGTTAAACTGAGCTGAAGCCAGTTAACAGGGGTTCACTGCTTCCACAGAGGCAGCGGATCGGTGTACGTTGAGGGTGTCCAGATGACGAGGGACTGAGCACCGTAATGAAATAAGACAGGTGCATGTAAATTGCTAGCCTGCAATTTAAAGGGCTTGTGGTAGGATACTGGGCTGAGTGGGGTGTACGCAGTCCTTGTGTTGTCTGCAGTTGGTAGTTATAGGCGAACGTCCCCCGGTGGGCACAGATGAGATTACCTCACACTTTAAATGGTACTGATTTACTCTGGACATCTTGGTTAACCCCGAAAAGTCAGCCCCACAGCCTATTCTGTGGAGAAAGAACTCTTGCTCCCTAATAGACCAACAGGTGAAGAACTCCACAAGGAGTTCTCACAGAGATTTTAGGGGTAGCATAAACAGTATTTTGGTTTCGCTTCGACTCCTCCCCACATTCCTTCATACCACACATACTCTTCTGTCATTTGTTAATCTTGTGTATTGGACTAGCTTTGGGCTGTAAACTGACAGGCCAACACATCAAGGACTTAATCCAAAGCCCATTGCAGTCCATGGGAGACTTTTCACTGACTTTGGTGGTCTTTGGATTAGGCCTTAAGTAGGAGTTTTTCACTTATGTATGGAATGTAGAGACTGATTTTATAGTAAAATGCTGCACTTCTGGGTTACAAGCATTGTGGGCCATATGTTCCTGAACAGTGTATCATTCACATTGTAGGCCCAAATGTGCATCATTTCTCTCAATTTCATTGATTATTAACTACATTATTTATATCAGGCAGAATGTTGAATCTGAGGTTAATGAAATCTTCAAAACACGTTAATAAAGATTCCCACATAATTTTGAATGTCTTCTGCTGCTGTTCTTTGTTGATCATTCTGAGCACTTGTCCAACCTTTTGAAGGCTTGTCTCACACATTTAGGTTTTTTTGAGAATTAGAGCTGTGTGTACAGTTCAAGAACAGACTTAAAAGACTAAAAGTTTTTAAACACTATGTTTAGATAGTTTTTCATTTATTGTAGAAAAAATTTTTAATGCAGTTCATTTTTATACATCTAAATTCCATAAAACAAATCCATAGAAATTAGGATACTGTATGCATGCGGTCTGCATTTTCTTTGTTAATGTTTCTGTTCACAAAAATAACACCACTTTTTTTTCCTTGAAAGCCACTAAAGCAGAGGGAAAGCAAAACATGCAACACTGTACACATTTGCATAGTATATTTTACCCAGCATGCCTTGTAGAATGCTACACATACAGTATCTATATAAGTAAAAATAGGAAGGGGCAAATCAGCAACAAAGAAAATATAAATGTGTACTCTTTTGGTTTAATAAAGGCAATAATTTTTTCTGCCATAATTAGCATGAACTGGCCTCCATTGATGTAAGAGGGAAAACTCCCTGCAATGGCAATGGAAACAGGTTTGGCCAATAATCAGAGACTGACTGGGAGGTAAAGAGCCCAAGGTCCATGGTTCAGAGTTTGGATGATTGTTTTCACCACATTATTTTGCCACATCTATTTTTAATGCACATACAGAATTTTATTTGGCTTGATTCTCCTCCTATACTGTGCAACACCATTGACTTCACCAGTGTACATGGGAGAAGAATCAGGCTTATTTCAAATTTATACATATTTTAGGCCTGAGCATGCATTCCTTGCATATATAGAAGTCCTGGTAATTTCCCTGGAAGTTTTAGGTGGGCTAGTATAGACCCTTTTGTAGCTTTTACATAGTTCAACCCCTCTCCCCAATAGCAGAATAGTATGCAATGGCAAAAATGCTTTTATAGCCCCAGGATGGCATTTTGTTTGAGATATTTTCATTTCCATTACAGACCTTGGACTACAAATATGATTAATGGCATATTCTTCAGTCCTTCATGCCAAAAAATTATTAATGAACACTAATCAAGACCTCACTTATAGTCATATGATTTCAAAATTTGGGAGTAGAAATAAGAGCAATGAGTATAACAAATTTTCTAATTTTAAAAGACTGATTTTTTTTACTGAGTTAACATTGAAGAGGGATAAAATTTCATGGAAAAATCAAATTACATAAGCAAATTGCAAGACTGTAAAATAAATTGCTGGAGAAGTGTCAGGCAGCAAGTTAAAGTGATGGAAAATGCAATAAATCCATTGAAACTGGATCAACAACGTACCTACTTTTTCAAAAATGCAATGGCAAATGTAAAATGGATTTGTTGTAAATTTGTGCTATTACAAATGTGCTTTTTTTCCTTGCTCTATTTTTTATATTATTGGCAAAAAATATATATACTATCATTTTGTACTGTACAATATAATTTCTTGCTACATTACTTTATTTTCTAGTACTAATACAGAGTAGAAGTAATAACAAAGGGTTATTTTGGCAATAGAATGCTCTCTTTTTAATAATGTCCCAGAAAATATTTGTAAGGCATATGATAAACGGTATGCAACACTGTAGGCCAGAACTTGCAAATGCTTATTACTGGACTTAACATTAATAAGCATTATGGTCAGCAGTAAGCATTTTCAGAATCCAGCCCTAGAAAGTACAAAAAGTAGTTCATTGCTTAAAAATTGTAGTGGCAGTACCGAAAAGGCAAGTCTACTGTGAAGCAGCACGAAGACCACGCCAAAAGGTGTCAATGGTTGATCTCACCTTGGCCACCATAATTTCAAAGGAAATAGCTACTAGATGTACCTAGAAAGAATGATAAACTCTTAAGTTTATTATTATTATTATTTCTATCTTTCATAGAATATCAGAGTTGGAAGGGACCTCAGGAGGTCATTTAGTCCAACCCCCTGCTCAAAGCAGGACCAATCTTCTTCCAAAACACTTCACTTGGATCCCAGGAATTGAAGAAAGGAGGATGTTTCTCTAGAAGCATACATAAGCATATTCCACAAATCAGAAAAATATGTTTGCCTCCATTATTTATAACAAACTTTTGATCCTAAGTAGAGTTTACAGCCCTTTGTCCAAATTCATTCATTTAGATATTTTCTATGATATTATCAAAATGTACCATTCTTTTTCTACATAGAGTATGTTGGGCTTAAATAATCATAGAACAAGGTCAATATGGATGATTGCTCTTAAAAGGATGTATTCCCTTTTGGCAATAAAGTATAAAGACAGCAGGAGATAGCCTTCACCAAATTTGGACTTGGCTAGGTAACTGTATTTTGTAGCCCCATTATTATCAATTGAACTACTATTTAAAGGCATGAGAGATTACTGGAGCAAAATAGATTATAGCTGAATCCATTTATCCAAACTAATCATGCAAGTTGGGAAACATAACCCAATTTTCAAACAACGAGGCTTTTTTATGGGTAAGAGGAGTTTGCATAAATCAGATTCTACTGTACACAATTTTGCATCCCATTTTTCATTCACCAGTCAGGATGCGTACTCTGCTTTAAAAAAATTCAAGAATAACATGGAGTCACGGTGAGATTTCGTGACTGCTGAATCCAGAAATCAATATATGAGCAAGGGATGAATTTAATTTATTCCTATATAAAGCAAATGGACTGATCAAATAGCCAACTGCCCGAGTTTACTCAAGTAACTATACAATAAGGACTACTAAGTGTGTGCTTCTGAGAATGATACAGAGGAACATTAGTGATGGCTGTGAACCCAGGGAAGTTTAAAGAAGGATGTGGAATTGAGACCAAGGTGAATTCTGAAGATTCATCTGAAACGGAACTGAACTTGAAGTTATGGACCTGTGCACCCCTATGGTAACTACCATTATCTATAGAAGCAGGTAGCTTGTGACACAGAAAAGAACTACCATAAGCACTCACTCTCCAGTAGTTTCTTGGTCTTAAAATTACTTTCCTCCCTACTTACAATCTTTATTCTCACAAACACTAGCTTAAAAAGCAAGGAGCAAAGAAAGGATATAATACCCAAAGGTCAGCTATAAAAGGAGCTTTAAAACCGGGTATGTCTACACTACAAACCTAAGTCGACCTATATTAGGACAACTTACAGCCACCACAGTAATTACTGCTGTGGTGCATGTGCCCACTACCCTCCTTGGGTCAGTTGTGCGCGTCCTCACCAGGAGCACTTCCACCGACCTAAGAGGGGCAGTGTGGGGAGCTGAGAGCCCAGTCTCTCAGCTCTGCTAGCAGCTCCCTACCAGAAGCTCCCACAGGTTCCTGGGTTCTCCACAGGCTTCCACTTCCCTGCTCCCTGTTCCCTGCCAGGAGCAAGGGGGAAGGCGCCCTGGGATTCTCGCCACCCCATTCCCTGCTGGGAGTGGGAGGAAGCCACCCTGGTCTTCTTGCTGTCAGGGAGCAGAGTCCATCTGCCCTTCTTGCCCTCCTGCTGCCCGCTCCCACTGGGAGCCAGGTGGGCTCCTCGCAGGGAGCAGGCAGGGGGATGCTTGGGCTTCTCACCCCAGCTCCCAGCTGGGAGCAGGGTCCAACTACCCAGCTCTCCAGGGGAGCAGGGGCTTTCTTGTCAGTTTCATGGCTCCTGCTGTGAAATTGACCAGACTGTGGATGTAAGGGACACGTCTACACAAAAAGAAAAGGAGTACTTGTGGCACCTTAGAGACTAACCAATTTATTTGAGCATGAGCTTTCGTGAGCTACAGCTCAAGTGAGCTACAGCTCAAGTGAGCTGTAGCTCACGAAAGCTCATGCTCAAATAAATTGGTTAGTCTCTAAGGTGCCACAAGTACTCCTTTTCTTTTTGTGAATACAGACTAACACGGCTGTTACTCTGAAAAATGTCTACACAGACAGGGCATCAGGCTAATTACATGGCTCTTATGCCTATGCTGGAGGGGGACTTATGTTGGTGTAGTAGGGCACTTACATTGACTAGAGGAAGGCTGTAGGGTAGACACTGACATAAGGAGTTCAACATAAGCTGCCTTATCTCAGCCTAGTGTGTAGTGTAGACCAGCCCATAGTCAAGTGTATTTCCACTTGCAGCCAAGCCAACACTAACATTCTGAGTACGATTTATTGGCGTGTTTACTGAAGACATTGGGAATTTTTCTAATCTCAGGTGCACCTGATTTGTATCTGGCTTTATAAGTGTAAGTCAGAAATATGGGAGATCAGAATCAGGCTCATGTTCTCTAGCCAAGAGGTAGCATAAATAGCAAAAGCTATTGCTACAAAAACCACTCTTGCTTTACTGAGCACAAAAATAAGTAGTCAGGGTGCAAGTTCCACTTACTTCAATGGGAAACTCACTTCTGCGGGCAAAATCTAGGTCCCAGGGTCATAATGTACATGGATTTCTAAGCAGAGTGATCCACTAAACTCAACAGAAAGTTTTGTTTCGAAAATGATGGCATGATATGGCCCACAGTGTTTAAGTTAAAATGACTTCAAAACAGTTTTAGTTATCTTCTTTTTTAAAAAACAATAATTTCCTAATATATTGTATGTCAGAAAATGTACCCAGTTTACAACTGCCTGTTGCTCAACTATATAAATAGCAAAAGAGATGAAAACATTCTGTAAAATTAAAAAATAATAATTCAAGTTTGAGGGGAACAATTACAATTCTCATAAATATGAGCCATATTTTAAAATTAATTCATTCTTCAATTATAGTCAGGCAAATGAATGCATTGAAGCATACTGTCTTTAGATGATCATGTCACTGAGACTGTCATATCAGCATAGGCTATCACTGCCTAAATTATCATTAACCCCAAAAGTCTTAAATAAAAACCTATAAAAATAACAAAGAACCATCAACATTTTATAAACATTTCTAAATAAATATTTGTGCATATACTGGAGCGTAGCAGTAGAATCCTGATTGTTACTATAATCAGGTTATAATAATCATGAGAAATTATAGCAGGAATTGGAAAAATTAGTCTTATTCCTACTCATTCAGGACTACATTAATTTCACATCTTCACATAAAGCCATTGCATAAAAAACCCACACAAGATGGCTGGCTAACATTGTAGAAGTTCTAATACATAGTTTATACTATGAATTTAAATGGCCTTAATCAGCATTGCAGCTCTTATTATTTTTCTTGTTTCTTAAAAAATAATTTGTAAAAGAAAGATTCCCAATAGCATTTACTCACAATGAAATGTATTCCTGTCAGCATTTTATATAAACATATACTTTAAGAGTATATATCTCCCTGCAAAACAAAAGCAAAAAAAAAAAAAAAAGCAAACTTTGATGATATTTAAGTATTAGAATGAGGGGGTATAAATCATACAGAAAAGGAAGGTAAACTTAAAATAAACCTGCAGAATTAAGGTAAACATTCAAAATTTTCCTTCAAGACATATACATGACTACTTTCAACAGGTTATTTTCATAAGAACGTTAAACAAAAGTGGTTTTGGCACTTCAGACAATGCAGCAGGTGAATTTTGTGCATGTGTGTTGTGGGGATCTTTCCCTTTACTAGCATGACATGGAAGACTTTAAAACAAGGCTCCAGAAGGCTTTAAAAAATAAATGACATTTTTGTCTCTGAAATGATAAAGCAGTAATCTCATTTACTAGAAAATATTAGTGGTGTTGCAGCTACCTGTCATAAAATGCAAATATCTTCAAGCAGTTAATGATCTGATTCCTAATCCTACTACAGAATAAAGATAAACAGCTGTCTAATCTAGCTTTACACATTTCAGTGCATTCTTTGCAATTAATACTTTAATGCACACAAAAAGAAACTGTCAAAGCTTATAGAAAAATGTTTTGCCTAATACCTTCTTTCTCATGCAGATGTGTGCTGTACATGTAACAAAGACTTGTAAATATTATTGGAGAATGTTCCACTGTGTTGTAACATAAGATATTAGAAATGGCAGCATATGCCACCACTATGAGGGCTGATCCTGCATTAGTGCCTCAGGCCAAACTCACACCGAGATCAATAGGAGTGTAACCTGAAAAAGGGCAGCAGGGACTGACCCTATATGTTAATTCTTAACTTTATTACTCCAGTGGATGCAAGTATTTTATGTTTTAGTTGTTGACAATTGGCCCAACTGAATCATCTAGTGACAGATCATTAAAGGCGTCTTTTATGCAGTAAACCTGTCCAAAAAGCCAGAGTTGCATCCATTATCTTTTGCTGTTAGAGACATGTATTATTTTGGTTGTATCAGATATGTAGTGAATTACATTTCAAGTTGTCATCACTAAGCAGATGCTCAGGCTCACTAGCAGGGAAAAATATCAAAAGCATCCTTGTTAACTGGTCCAGAAAATAGAAGACATCATAACGTTCAGGAAATTTGTTTAGTGCTACATGCTTTTATAGCCTACCTCTCAGGAGGCTTTGGGAAAGAAACAGGAAAATATAAAAACATAATTACTTTCATTTTCAAAAAATAGCTTTGACATGAACCAGCATAAAATGATATTTTACACATAGTTCTGTCAGTTTTAGAAAATGCATGCAGTGTCTGGGGTGTTTTAGAAAGAGTCTATGCTTAACGACACCAGTGTGTTGTATAAAATGGTCAATTACAATAATTATTTCAATCATATTGGATCTAAGGCTTCGATGATAATGTAAGATATAAGGTCTAACTATATAAATGCATCCATTAAAAAAAACTGAATAGTCAGTAGGTGAAAAGCAGTGTTCATTAGAAGTAAGGCAGCAAAATCTCCAAAGACTTTATCATAGTTCTTTGAATTAAAAATGTCAGCTCTATAATTTTACAGTGAGCAGACCTTCTGTGGTACTCTATTCTGTTTTTATTGCAAGCTGTATCTTTCGGAATCTTTGTTTTATAATTTACAGCCATTTGGAAAAAAAATTCTGCTTTTATCAATAAAATTTAAATGATGTGGCTAGGGAGGGTTCTTGTGTGATGCTGGAATTTTCAGACATTCAAAGAGGGAAACTGAAAAACGTAATGTGAAGGTACTCAATTGTGTGGGAATGTAAATACAGTACATGCTGAACATGCGTGGTTGGGAGAATGGATCAGTTTTCTATTTGACATGGCAGAACATTGAGAATGGGAGAAAAAGCATCACATCTCTACTGTTTGATATTGGATTTTGTGATGAACCAAAGAAAGAACAGCCATGTACTCTCAAACTCGTCATTCCTGCTAGGCTTGGGTTTGTTCATACTCCTACTGGTCTCTTCCACGTTGCTGAAGTTCGTATCATCATTGCTGACCACAACAAAAGTATCAGTACTGACTAAACAAATGAAAAAAAAATTGCTGCAACGTACGTGTCAGGAGAAAAAATAAAGAAATTTTCAAACAGGAAAGTACTTTGAAACTGCTGCATTAATTTGTGATATTTGGCACTACAAATGGTTTACATTTGGTTAGTCTGAAAAAGCCAGTCAGGAAAAGTGAATATACATTAAAATGTTTTTATTCTAACCTTGAGTGTAAATTTAGCTTCCAGCAAACATACTGTAGCTGATTTTTGGCTGATAGTGGTTAATTTTCTATTTCTTCATCTGCATTTTTTTTCAATTGATTGCAACTTGTTCAAGTCGACTTTCCAGTCAGTTCACCCAAATTCCAACAAGAATTGGTTTATAAATTGGTTCCAACTGGAACTGGTCATTTGGAATTTCCAGCACAGGAAATTGTTTTATATGTGCCTTTATAAGTACCCTAAATTATGAACTGATATGTTTAATAGCTAACGAGGAAAAAAGGTACTGCTATAAATGCAAATGCTGTACTAAAAAAAAATCCAGGATGATTGGGCAAGCTAATTTCCTCCTAAACATCAGGGCATTGTGAATTTCTTCCCCTCTTCCTTTTTTTAAGCATCAAATGACAGCAGCTTGTAACTACAGTAAAACTGTGTTACACCTGCTAAATTAAGATGATTTGTTTTTCCTAGCTATGTTATGGAAAGTTGTCAACTAATGAATACTATTTTTCCCCAGGTTCCTAAACTCAAAGCCTATGTCGTGAATCATGGCTATATCCTCCAGGCGATCCTCGGTTCCTATGGGGTTTGTAAGTGTCCTGGTAAGAGTCAGAGTACTCTTCTTCCACAAGTGGGTAATGATCTCGGCTGTGTTGGGAACTGGAAGACAAGCGGTTCCTGCTCTTCCGAGCCCTTTCATTGTGATAATTTTCATCAGAGGTCATTAGGCTTCTTCGTTCAACTGGAGAGTTCTCAGTAGAGTGGTTGCTATGTCTCATACGCTGGCTCTAAAAATGTAAATGAATGTAAGGATTAATACAGATACCATTTTATTTCACCTCTTGTAAGTTAGTTGTGAGCCTCAGTTTGAGGTCCTTCAGAATCCATCCACGTTTGTAATTCCTTTTTAATAGTAAAATTTATTTGCGATGGGAGATGGATGTGAAAATAGTCTGATTCCCAAAACTGATAGGAGACCAAACACAGCATAATACAAAGTATTTTTATGATATTTTTATATGCAATCTTATAAAATTTTACAGAGCACTTTCAGTAAGAAGTGACTAGTAGATCAATTTCAGAGCACACTACACTTATCAGTTCTTCTCCCCAGTCATGAACATAACATTCATAATTCTATTTTGATTCCTTTTAGTAATTTGTGATGAATCAGTGTGTTTTGTAGAAACTTTCTGAAAAGGAGTTTTGGTTTTTCCAAAAGGTGCAGCTCATTTAGCGTTATTTAAAGATTTTTAAACTATGAGCTAATAGAGTATAACCAAATACTCTACAGGAAGGCTAGCTGAAGTAGTTAGATGTTAAGTGATTTTTATAACTAAAACATAATAAATATTTCAAATAACTTGCACAGAAACTCCTTGACCAGGACCATTTACCAAGTAGGGATTTGGCCTTTGTTGTCCTTATGTTTCCATAGTGATTGGTTAATATCTAATCATGTGTGGTCACAAGATCAAATCACAAGATCACATTATTGCCTCTGAACTGGTACAATGAGGCAACAGTCCACATTGAGAGAACAACATTCCATCCAATATCATCAGACGTGCTCCATTATTACCACTGTTATTCTCTCATGTCTCCGCACAACCAACGTTAACAGAAATTCAAAAGGTTGATCAAGCACCAACTTAGCTGACTGTTCTTTCTCTCACGATTTTGCACTCAATATCCTTTTTCCGATCCAAAGGCTAATAGTAAAATGCTACTAGTATGTTTGTATTCGTATGATCTGAGATTTGTATCCATTCAAATGTATGGTCTACTGTATGGTCCTCTCAACTCAGAATTTTTCTCTATTCTATGCAATCTTTCTGGTACAGTTCTACTTTTCACCTACATGACCTAATCTGTTTTAACTCTATAATTCATAGCCAAGTATTATGTTATCCCAAAGATTTTTGTCATTCCATGTTGTTTCAATATCTATTATGGCTCAGTTTTTATTTTTGTTTAATGTGTCTTTATCTCTGGTTAATGTGTTTTCTTATTTAACTCCTTGGTCTAACATCTACAACATCTCTGCAATTTATCTCTGTGAATGCAACTTGTCCCTCCCCCCAGTTACTTTGTAATATATGCTCTTTCCTTTACTGGATGCAGAGATATCTTTGTATTACTGGCTTGATTTTGTAGTTATTCTGATCTCAATCTCTTCACCTCTTCTGGGTGTGGAACATATTTGACGTGAGTTAATGTTTGTAGGTGTTGCAAAAAGATAACCTCTTATCTCATAATGTAAGATATGATTATCATAAGATAATGTATGATAACCCATATCTGGCCTCACTTGAACAGCTGGGTTCAAAACTGGGTCCTGCAGAGATAAAAACATTGAGCTTCCACCACTTGAGCCAAAGGACTTAAGTCTATTAGCTGGAACTTGCAGACTCCAGCCTTGTCTGTGGACCAGCCACTAGAGGGTGACAAAACTCTACACACTCAACGTGGGTTGCAACTGCATACGGTTAATATGCTCTATTTTAATTTTACGTATTTCTAAGTTGCATTGCTCCTTGTATCTTGAGCTTCAGACTGGCACAGTTTATATAGATAGATATAAAATATAAACAAGTAAATTAAGTATATGCAATGAAACATAATTAAAGTTGTGTGTGCAATCTTCACTTTTGTTTCTCCTGGACTTGAGTGCATAAATGTACACCTGTATTGCATTAACATAGGATTTTGGCTTTTTTGCATTCAGTTTCCTAGTAATTTAAAGGTAGTATAGCTGATAAGGAAAAAACGTCATAAGGGTTTAAAGTACTGTAGTAAATACTTAATGTAGCAAAGCACCTATGCTGGTTTAATTCCTGAAGTCTGTATAAGTATCTCAATCACCTTATGGTGTCAAACACTTAAACTGATGTAATTCTTCAGATGGCAAATGTCTTGAAAGTGGTGTAAGATATAATCACTTAAGATAATGTAAGTCCTTAATGTGACATAACCATGTCAACCCAACTTTCTAAATGGTCTGAAACACTTAAGTGGCATTGTGAACCAAATCCTGCAGTCTTTACTCAGGCATAATAAACTCAGGGTGAAATTTACTCCTCTGCAGATAACTAGCACCATCCAAGCCGTCACAATTTTGCTAAGGTGGGTAGTAAGGGACAATGCATAGACCTTCTGCTGGCCCCCTGCATAGGGGTAATTTTCATCTTCAGTGTAAGTTTTCCCTATGTAAGTGGAGCAACATGTCACAGTCACTATCAGTGCCTACTGACTAGAGGTAAACAAATATCAGAAAAAAATGTGATGTATAGCCATAATTCTTTAAATGGATTTGCTTTGGCTATGCCCGCAGTCCTTTTAGGTTTGCTTAGGTGAACATTCAAGAGATGGCATTTTACTGATATGAATGGATGGCAAACTGAAATGTTACACTTAAGTGAGCATGGAAACAATATTTTACAATTGTTCATGCGATTACTAACGCCAGAAGTGCTTGTGCACTCATCCAATCAGGGAATTTAATACCACATAATTTATTGGGCCTAACAGAATCAAAATGGTCTATCTGCAGTCAACTGTGCAATTAATCCACAGAGTAATTTTCATATACTTATTGAATAAATTTAAATAATCAATCAATTTGAATGTTGAATCACTTTATTCAGAAATTACGATCTGCCTCCAAATATTCCATAAGCAGAACAGAAGTTAAATTTTTCAGGTGAATTATGCATTACAAATTATTTGCTCAGCTCTATTGCTGACACATATTAGCAAGTGCACATTCCTCAAAAGTCACACACACATGCAGAACTCTTTCTGAAACTTTCAGAATTAATGAAAAAAATGTTCACTGCATTCCCTCCCGGTCTTGCATCTTCAAACATTCATAACTGTTATTTCAAAAACATTTTTTTCAAACTTAGTAAAGCACGTACTTCTCATTAAGGACTATTTACATGCCACGTTTGAAGTTTCAAAGTTCGCCGTTTTTGAGCTATCCCTGTGAAAAAAAAATGGTCAGAATTTTTTTTTCAATGGGAAAAAATGTATTTTATTCACACTCAATGAACTCAAACACATGAAAGGGATTTTGCTGAAGCTCTACCTTAGGCCAAGCATGGAAAATTTTGGCCCAAAAGATGAATGTTGTGAAAAGTTATGAGCATGTGAAAATGGGGTTATAACAGAATAAGATCTGCAACCTTAACAATAGTATTTCTTACCAGCATAACTGCTATCATATTTTACATGCTTATTTTCAGTCTGAAAGACTCTTAATTCTAATGGCACTTTCTTACATAAAAAGATGCAATTTTGTTATATAGCTTTTGACAGAGTGCCATTTATCTCAGTTTATTCTTCATGCCAAAAGGAGTTATGGGTATTATATTCCCCATTAAGACAAAACTAGTCCGAACACCAGTGCACTCTATTAATAAAATGTTTCCCTGTTGAATAAGTGGGTCTATTTTGCTTTCTTATTGTTGGCACTTACCAAACAGCAAATAGTAATTAATGAAAAAAAAATACTGGATACAGTCTATAAAACGTATTATTCTGTTTTCCTATAATGAATAAAACTGACCTGTACTGGTGACTGGGGGCCAAGATGCATATTCATACCTGTAATCCAGAGATTGCAGTAGGGTATGGTGAAAGGGCAGTCGATCCTAGGTTTCTTCCAAGAAGAGGAGTCATAGGTGTGCTACTGGTGGTATGCGTAGCACGCCAATATGCCTCTAGGTATTCTGCCAAATGTTCACACGCATCCTCAAGCTGATTTTCATCCAAAATGACATCAAACATTTCCTGTACACAACAAGAAAATGCTAGTTCAGTTATTTTTATGGGCATCAAAAGAGGAACACCCAAATAACCATAGGTTCATAGAAATGTTGGACTGCAACAGACCTCAATAGGTCATCTAGTCCAGTCCCCTGCACTCAAGGCAGGACAGTATAATAACTAGACCATCCCTGACAGATGATTGTCCAACCTGTTCTTAAAAATCTCCAGTAACAGAGATTCCACAACCTCCCCAGGTAATTTGCGCCAGTGCTTAACTACCCTTACAGTGAGGAAGTTTTTCTTAATATCTAGCCTAAATCTCCCTTGCGGCAATTTAAGCCCATTACTTCTTTTCCTGTCCTCAATGGTTAAGGAGAACAATTTATCACCCTCCTCTTCATAACAACATTTTACATTCTTGATGACTGCTATTTCCCCCCTCCCCTGTCCTCTCTTTTCCAGACCAAACAAACTCAGCTTTTTCAATCTTTTCTCATAGGTCATGTTTTCTAGACCTTTAATCATTTTTGTTGCTCTCCTCTGGACTTTCTCCAATTTGTCCACATCTTTCTCAAAGGGTGCTGCCCAGAATTGGACACAATACTCCAAAAGAGGCCTTATCAGTGCTGAGTAGAGTAGAATAATTACTTCTCATTTCTAGTTTACAAGGCCCCCGCTAATACAAAAAAAAGTTAACATTCTGGGATGTAACACTATGACATTGTTGACTCATATTTAGTTTGTGATCCACTATAACCCTCAGATCCTTTTCTGCGGTATTATTTCCTAGGCAGTCATTTCCCATTCTGTATTTGTGCAATTGGTTATTCTTTCTTAAGCATTTGTCCTTATTGACTTTCATTTCATCCTATTTATTTCAGGCCACTTCTCCAGTTTTTCTTGATCATTTTGAATTCTAATTCTGGTTCTGAACTCTGGGGATGACTCATATCTCTCTGATAAACAAAATCCTGATTCTGAACTCAGATCCAGAATTGAAACTGTGCAGCTGAAGAACATCTCTATTCTAGTTCATACAATTTACAGTTATATTAGCAACGACATTTCTACTTAGCATAACTGTTAAGTTCAGGACATACAGCTGTTCAAACATTCACAGCTGGGAATTCTGTCTACAGCACCTACATATGATGTTTATGCATTGTCTTAACTGCCTTAATTTATATCTGTATCTATCTGTCCAGATGGCCCTGTGCCTGTTCTTAAATTGGTGAGGTCTTACAAGTTATGATTTCCCTTTCCCCCCCCCCAGGAATTCATTCATTGGCGACAGTACTTAAGCAGCAGAACAAATACCTCAATACAGTACCTCAGACTGCTGACACTTATATGCCACACAAAGTATATCTATTGTTGAACATCAAAGGAATGTAGGACACACAGCTCCTGTGACTTTCTGGCTGCCAAAAGGGCAGTTTATATGCAGCTAGTGTTTTCATATTCTATCAGCAATGGAAGTGGTTTACAGCTGTACTAGATGAGTGGATTTTTATGAATTGCAAGACAGGCATAATAAAACAAATGCCCATTTTCTGAAGAAAACATTTTCATGAATATTCACAAATTTAGTCCACTGAGAAAATTCAGCATTTTCAACAGTAAAGTTTTGCACCTATGTCTTTCCCCTTCACTTTCAATTCAGTGGGAAAATATACCATGGAACTATAGTAGGAATAAAATAAGGACTGCATGGTGCAGGTGTTATTGTGATTGGTACAGTAAAAACACACACACAAAACCACATAATACTCTGCTCCTGTACCCCTTATACACACACACATACCCCTATATAGACATGTAACGACACAATATATGTGAAGCGGACATCCATATGGTAAATTGTTTCATCTGATGTCTGCCCACTAATCCAGTCCTCACAACTTCCTCTAACCCTTTAACTGCCACTTTAATTTTTTTTAAAATCAATTGACTTAATAAATGTTTCCTCTTCCACCCCGCAAAAGTTGAATTAAATCCCCACCTCCTCCAACTCACATACTCCAAACATGAAGACTGCTTGAAACCTAGGATGGGCAAGATTCTGTGCTAATCTAGTGATAGCTTCTCTGTACATAAAAACAGTATGATGTTATAGCTAGTTATTCTGCAGCCCTGCAGGACTATATGTGAGCTATAGCTCACTGGCAAGTGTAGATTTGCAGTTTCCAAATGGGAATCACCTTTGCTTCTAGCTCTAGGGGACCTGAGATAATGGAATTTAGTCATGACATATTTAACTGCAGAAAAACTATTTTATGACTGCCTGAGTCATGTACAAATGGACTTATGATAACGAAGGATCAGTGCAGGGGTGGCCAACCTGTGGCTCCGGAGCCACATGTGGCTCTTCAGAAGTTAATATGCGGCTCCTTGCATAGGCACCGACTCCGGGGCTCGAGCTACAGGTGCCAACTTTCCAGTGCGCCGTGGGGTGCTCACTGCTCAACCCTTGGCTCTGCCACAGGCCCTGCCCCCACTCCACCCCTTCCCGCCCCCTCCCCTGAGCCTGCTGTGACTTTGCTCCTCCCTCTTTCCCCACAGAGCCTCCTGCACGCCAGGGAACAGCTAATCAGGAGGTGCGGGGAGGCGCTGATTGGTGGTGGGGGGAGCTGATGCGGGGCTGCTGACCTATTACTGTGGCTCTTTGGCAATGTACGTTGGTAAATTCTGGCTCCTTTTCAGGCTCAGATTGGCCACCCCTTGATTAGTGAGTGAAGGACTATGAAAAATGGTCCCAGTAAAAAGCTCTAAAATTCTCTAAACCATTCCTAAAATAGGTTTTTGTACCATCTTTTCCTTATACAGAAATCATGCTGGTTTAGTGCAGTATGAGTGTTCTATTGACACTTGTCTGAGTTTACCTGCAACTCACACGTGGCTTTGCCACTCATGAGTAATGCATCCTTTCAAACACATGCTGATAAAATCATGTATTCCATTATATTACACACACAAAAATACTAAAACAACATTATAAATGTTGCAAAGTCAAGCACTTAAAAGTTAGGAAATGTCAGAATTAAAATTATCTGTACACATAAGCCAAAAGCACACAGCACTTTTGAAAATAATATGAACATGCAATGTGGTATTTGGACTATACTGTCTGTGCTTACTACAGGGTCAATTTTGAGACAGGCTGATTTGAGGAGGTTAAGTAGTTTCCATGAAAAGGAAGTTACTCACCTTGTGCAGTAACGATGGTTCTTTGAGATGTGTCCCCCATGGGTGCTCCACTGTAGCTGTATCTGCGTCTCTGTGCCTCTAATCGAAGATTTGGGTTGGCAATGTCCGTTCGGCCTGTACATGCGCTCTCCCTCCCGCCTGGTCTGTGTGGGGGAACCCCCTCAGTTCCTTCTCTACCCCGAAGCCCCTTATGGTGAACTCCAAGGTAGAGGGGAGGAGGACGGGTTGTGGAACACCCACAGGGACACACATCTTGAAGAACCATCATTAGTGCCCAAGGTGAGTAACTTCCTCTTCTTCGAGTAGTGTCCTTATGGGCGTTCCACTGTAGGTGACTCCTGAGCAGTACCCCCCATGGAGGGCTGGGGCTTTGGAATGGTGTCTGTTACTATAGAAAGCACTATAGACCTGAAGATGGCATCAGAGGCTGAATCTCCAGTGATCGCATAGTGTTCTGCAAAAGTGTCGGAAGAGGCCTAAGTAACTGCTCTGCAGATTTCTGAAAGAGGGACATCTTTAAGGAATGCGACTAAGATAGAAACTGACCTCGTGGAGTGCGTATAGATTTTGGACGGAGACAACAGGTTGCACCTTTGATAAAAGTGATTAAAGCAACCCAAGACCCATTTGGATAGTCTTCAAGCCGATATCACGGAGCCTTTGGATCTTCCCGTGAATGAAAGGAAGAATTTAGGAGACTTCCTGAAGTCCTTAGACCTGTCCAAGTAGAATGCTAGTGCTCTTCTAATATCTAGCATATGCAGAATCGCCTCCCTGTTGTCATGATGTGATTTTGGGGAAAAACCAGGACATATGGAAAGTAGAGACAACTTTAGGGAGAAACTTGGGATGCAGCCTCAGAGTTACTTTGTCTTTTTAAAAGACTGTGTATGGTGGGTGTGCGCCATTAGGCCCACTAATTCTCCTATGTGCCTAGCTGAAGTGAGGGCAATTAGAAATGCTGTCTTCATGGACAGATGTAAGAGATAGCAAGTTGCCATGGGCTCAAAGGGAGATCTAATCAAAGCTCTGAGAACTAGGTTAAGATCCCAGATTGGAGTGGGTGGTCTTACATGCAGGAAGAGATTCCCAATGCCTTTAAGGAATCTACACATCAGCAGGTGAGCAACCGTAGAATATCCATCTGCTTGATGGTGGAAAGCTGTTATGGCCGCAAGACGTACTTTAAGGGAACTGAGTGAGAGTTTTGACCTCGAGGTCTAAAATGTAGTCTAAAATTAGAGGGAGGGAAGATGAGTTGGGTCTGTGTGCTTAGAAGGACACCAAACTTGGGATCATTTCACTTTTTGTAGGTCAGTACATTGAGTGGTAAACTTTTGGCTGTGCAGCAACATGTCTTTCACCTCGTCAGAGCATTCTGACCCTAAGTCTTGGAACCAAGAAGGAGCCAACCCTGGAGGCTGAGGAACTGCATGTTGGGGTGAAAGACCAGTCTGTCCCTTTGAGAGAGCAGGTGGGGAATGGGCCAGAGTGGAACTGGAGAACATATTGCCATCTGTGTCCCGGTAAGGGAATCAGACTTGTCTTGGCCAGGAGAGGGCACTCAGAATAACTCTCATTTTGTCTCGTCAACTTTTCAACTGGACCTTGGACAGAAAAGGAAATGGGGGAAAGGCATACAAGAAGTCCTTGTTCCATGTGAGGATGAGGGTGTCTCCCAGTGAATGTTTCCCTAGGCTGGCCCTGGAGCAGTAACAATGATATTTCTTGTTCCAGTTAAGTAGCAAAGAGCTCTGCAGTCGGGGTTCCGCAAAGGGCGAATATGTCTCAAAGCACCTCTGAGTTCAGTTCCC